AATGATTCAATTACTCAAATGCTAGTAGGTAGTTACCAGTTTCGCCACCAGGTGGCTGATTTGGGGGAAATAACATGGCAGGGTATTACAAAATTCCCTTAAACTTGAATATTCATCAGTTTTAGTGGTTCACTTTTCATATTACCCTTATGTATGTGATAGTTATACAAATTAAAATATGTCCAGTAAAAGAAAATATTATCTGTCCAACACAAGAAAAGATATTTCACTTTTTGTGGTTTTATGCCTGGGTCACATATGCTCCGATCCATCGGCCAGCGCCCGCCCGATTGAGTGTTTTGCTCAATATTGTATTCAATTTTGAACAAAATACTCAATCGGCCGGGCGCCGTAGTGAAAATCGGAGCAAATGTGACCAAGGCATTAAAGCATGGGCTCTATGGGAAATCTCCCCGACCTAGAAGTCACATTTTCAAAGAAAATTGAATTTTCAAAGTTGATAAACTCTTTTCAAAACCACATTTTTAGATGTAATTTTACATGTAGATTCCAAATATGATACCAGTTTGACTGAATTGTGAGTTTTTGTAATGAGGTAAATCAAGATTATTTCTACTCGCATCTAGGATATTGATTTCTTTTTAACTCATCAGAACTGAGAATGATTACATTTATAATCGTATTATTGAAATAACACTAATCCAAATGTATGAAAAGGCATAATTTTCTCATGAATTAATAGTCTTTGATGTCAAAGAAATAAAACATGTCTGGACTTTATTACAACATCCACATTAAATTAACTTATTATATTTTGATCATATGCATTTGTTTATTTTTAACTCACAGGCACATCCTGTTCCTATATAATCAGTCTTATGATTGAATTTCATCCAATGGTAAATAAGCATCCATTTAGAATAATAATAGAATATAGTAGGAAAAAGATGTTTTTAACAAATTAGGGTTAGGTTCTGTGGAAGAAAAATGATATCATTATATCTAAAATATATCAATATCATTGAATTAATTGGAGGTGATATCTAGTGATTAAAATAAGGCATCCAGCAATCCTAATATACTCTAATATAAACTGGTCATAAGAACTGTCTTAAGTTATTAGCTGGTGGAAGTGAGTTTGACATAAATTTTTCAATGATCACATGACTCATTTGCATAATTTTCTATGATTATTTGCATAATTTTCTATTGCTTGAATTTTGTAAACATGAAACTTTGAATCAAACATGATTAATTCTTTAAGCAATTTACATCTGTATTTGAATCTAAAGTTAGCATTAACTTTAAACAATAAGTTAAAAACTTGGTAACTTATTAGTTCAGGTATGCCATATGAATGAACAGTATATGCCTGGGAGTATAATGTCCTCATGGACCACATCACAGTAGGTTCATAGTGTCTCTGATCATACAATGTAAATACATAATATTAGAGCAATTGTGATTCCCCATAGTAAAATGGGGGAAAGGGGGGGGGGGTTGTTTACTGGGGCCTGTATTCAATTTGTGAATATGGGGAAATATTAAACAAATACTGGATGATCAGGAGCCGGATATGGCAGAATACCTATTCGAGAAAAAATATTGGGCGAGGCGGCAGCCCAGCCCAATATTTTTTCGAGGATAGGTATTCTGGCCATATCCAGCTCCTGATCATCCAGTATTTGTTTTATTATGCACCTCCCAATCAAAGTTAAGTGGAGTACTTACTTGAGTACAGGCTTAAACTGTCGTTTAGTTGACATTATTTTGACATTTATTTATTTTTTCTTTCAAAACTCAGACTACTTCCGGCCAGTTTATTCGCTACAATGGACGAAAATATTTGCCCCGGGAATTTAATTTTTATTTATTCGAGACGTTCTTGCAGAATTATATGTAACTTTTGAATGATAAGGGTAATCGTGATTGATTAAGTGCATTTTTTTCTTCTATTTCCCGCCAGTTTCAGATGTAAGTTTTAAGTAATACTCTAGTTATTAAGAAATAAAACTCTGAAGTGGGAATGTTGCAAAAACATTGAAAAAAATATCCGACCCTTTTTCTCGAAAGGGTCAGATATTAAAAAAATATCCGGCAGTTTTCAGAAAAGAGCAGAGTATTGCCAAATTACAAGCAGCTAAGAACCAATCAGATTTGAGTATTTTAATGAGGTGCATAATAAAATCTAAATATCATACTAAACAGTGAAATCTTTTTATCATTTCTTAAATTGATTTAATGGTCATTAATTGGGATAGGGGTTTGGTTTAATGCATTTCATATTTGAAAATGCTCCCCTATGGTGGACAAAAATTAACATTAATTTCATGAAAAAAAGAAAAAGACCCAATACATCTAGATCTCATTAATACCTTCAAAGTTTTACTAAAAGCATATGTAAATATTCTATAAATGTCACTATATCTTGCCATTAAAAATTTGAAAAAGAAGTGGTACATTTTAGAGTATTATACTCTGTCACTGTTTTACTCATAGCTTTATTGGACTTCAAACAGAAGTGAAGGTTACCCGCATATGATAGATATACCTATTGCATGTAGTAGGTAATTCTTTATGTATAACAAAATTTATGAGTTTAACTTTAATTTTGTTCTAGTGTTTTTATGAAAAATCGCATGTTCTTTTTATCGCACACCCTGAGTACTGGGGCCTATATTCAATTTGTATGGGGAAAATACGATCTAAATTATCATACTTAAAAGTGAAATCTTACTATAATTTCATAAATTAATGTAATGCATTAATTTTGAATGAAATAATTGGTTTGATATATACTTTATATTATACAATGTATGGAAGGATGTGGTTCTATATAAAAAAATAAACAGCTTGTTAACAATCATCTTTACCATAGACATATAGAACATTAGATCACTTATTTTATAATAGCACCCAAAGTTAGTATCAACTTAAAGAGGCAACATAAAGTTTGAACATAAAATCATTAATTTATTGGTTAATTTGACATTGTATTCTTTGATTATTAAACCCATCCAAACAATACTTTAACAAGGTCTAATAACATTCCTATTCATTTGTATTTTCAAGGACCTAATCAAGGGAAATTATAAACAGATAATGTAATTTTGAATTAAAATAAAAAATAATTTAGTTGAGCTCATGATTTGACTCATAGAAAATTCTAAACAGATCATCTAGCATACCAATGACAATGAAACTTTTAAACATCATCAATCATTATCTCCTGACAAAATACCTTAAAATCTTTCACAAACACTAAATGTTGTTTTAAGCATTCACATTAACTATAAATACCAAGATAACCTATAATATTTTTTCTACTTCTATCAGAGGAGTTTTACTGTATAAGCAAAATATATGATTGAATTTTTTTCAATGTATTGAATACTACAACTGAATTTTTCAATGTCTTGAAAAAAAAACATTGTATTTTTTTTCAACGGTTTGTTTTTTTCATCCATTGTTTTTCAATTTTTCAATGAAATAATCATGGGGTTGAATGTCCCAAATTCAAGGTTGAACATTTTTAACAGGGTAAATAACCTCTATATATTTTATGAAATGAAAAATTATATATAATCCTTTACAAATCACTATAAATTAGAAGAATGAAGGTCCACCTTTTATTTGATAGGCAGCTACTGTGAAGTGAACACAACATTTGCAGCAGAGAATCCATGTCCTGTGGGGACATTCAACAACCAAACACATGCATATGGTACACAGTTCTGTCAGCCATGTACAGTAGGAATGTATTGTGAGACACATGGGCTGCCTAAGCCTACAGGGCCATGTAACCCTGGTAAGTGATCCTTTACCTCTATTTAGCCTTTAACATATGGATTTAAAACAATAAAAATTCAGTTTTGCCCTTTTTGAATGATTTAAATCAAGCATAGAATAATATCATTGTTCCAATTTTTTATCAAGAAGACTAATTGAAACTTATATCTTCTCCATGTGCATTTGGTCTAAGTATTCTTCAGTTTCTTCTACATACCAGGTATTTTCAGTATTATAGTCATAAAACAGCTTTTTGCCTGAAAAGCAATCTGTTTTTAAGTAGGAGCCATCATCAGAGCTTCATCAACCTCTTTGTAAATATGGGAGGATATTAAAGATAAATGGATAATTGGACAACACATTTTGAGTCAGAAATTGGTGCAAAATTGATCCGATGTGTATGTTTAGTAATTGTGGAAGATGTCTCATTACTGAATGTTATTTCTCCAGGCTTTTACTGTGTACTGGAATCATCAACAGCTACACCCACTGACAACACAACAGTTGTAGAATTCCCCTGGGGCATTACTGTCCTGAGGGATCCTCAAGTCCCACTCCCTGTCCCCCAGACTACTAGTACTTCCTTGATCCAACTCAACAAGATGAACCAAGCAATTGTAAACTATGCCCTGGATGCATGTATTCTACTGGAATGGGGGATGAGACACCTGTTGCAAATTGTGACAATGGTTACTATTGTCAAGGGGGCAAGAATAATTCTGCTGCATATGAGCTCAGGTGAGTGAAGAAATATCCTTGATTTAGACCCTTTTTTCACAAAATATCCACCGACATATACTGTTCCATATATAAAGAGGCACAAAGTATGACATAGTGTCTGTAACTGATTTTCTCTTGAAATTGACCCCTGAAAACAAACTGTTGTTATTTAACTTCCAAGCACAATTTAACACTAATTTTAGTCATGTGCTTTGTTATACATACTTGATTTTGGATTTTAATCCTGCATGTATGTACAGTACTTTCAATTCTACTTCTGTTCTTTGTCTTGTAAAATAATGTGAATCTTAATTTAAATATGGGTGGTAAAATACAATACATAGCTGTTGTTCCAGATGCCCAATTCACCACTACTATCCCTCAGGCACTGACACCCCAATATGTTGTGAGAACGGGACTTACCAGGATCAGGAGACCCAACTCACATGCAAGACATCCCCAGTAGTGGCTATTTCTGTGACAGCACTATGAGAATTGTTGTGCTGGATAACTGTACCACTTTATGCCCCATGGGATACTACTGCCCTGAAGGCACTAGGTTTAACAATGAATTCCCTTGCCCTATTGGAACATTCAACAACCGTACAGGTAAGTGTTTTGAATAACTCAAAATATTTCTAGTATTTTAATGATCTTCCAGTTTAGCTTGTCACACAAGGTTTCTATTGAGTATTTTGTCTCTAGTAATTGTATTACATAACTATGTATGCTGCGCTTGGAAATACTTAGCCAGGCCATTCATTCAATTTATGATAATGGGACATTCTGATATTTCTAATATTTATTTTGTATTTCCCAGATTTTAGATCCTATTTATTACTTTTGATTTGTAGTACTATCTGATAGCAGCCAATGTAGTCCCTGTTCAGGTGGCTTTTACTGCCCTACACTTGGTATGGTCACCCCAGTACAACTACATGCTGCAGGTTACTTCTGTAAGACCCTAGCTAAGACTGCCTCATCAAACCAAGGTATGCATTAGCACTGATTTTAAGATGGAGTTTTTTGTTGATGCCCGGAAAACGAGGTGTCATGGGTTCAATCCCAACTAGGGTGGACTGACTTTTTCTCATCAGCCCTTAGCGCAGGTTTTAATTCTGTGTTTAAATAAAATAGATCTGCCCCCCCCCTAACCGTTGGTGTAATTCTCTATAGCCTAACCGTTTAAGGGTTAAGTCCTATTAGTTTTCAATTTATGATGTTAATATTCAGTAAATGTTGATGGTTTTGCATTTTGTTCCTTTTTTTTATTATTCATGTTCAAAGATTGTAAACCATCCTAAATACCCATCAAATACTGTTTGTTATAAAATGCCATATGTATTAATTGTAGGTACTACTGTGAGATAGCACCAGATCTCCATTATGTGCCTGGTGGGGCACTATTGTGAGGAAGGATCCAGAGAACCCGAGCCATGCCCTGCAGGAACCTATAGTAACAATGTAGGCAACCCCAATGCAGCTATGTATAGACCTTGTGATGCAGGAATGTACTGCAATGAAACAGGTTAGAATGAATTCTTAACCCTAGAAGCCCTAAGGGGGGGTCAAAATGACCCCCCCTGTTAAGTTTTTTCCCCATAACTTTTTATTGGCATATGGTAGGGTCTTCAAATTTTCAGTAGCTGAAGCTACAGATATAAGACATGTTTTCTGAAAAAATCAGCAGAATTGTACATAGAGTTACTGATTTATTATGATGTAATCATCAGCTGCAACAGACAAAATCGGAAAAAGCTAGCACCATTTCTACCATACGTGTTATCTTTCGAATAAGATTACACAATTTTCCATCATCAAAGTTGTTAAAGTTATTACACCAAGTTGTAGATAATTGAATGAAGTATATTTTGGTAAAAGTTTGAACATCCTAGCTTTGCTAATTTGTTATTTATTTAGTATGATGTAATCATCAGCTCCAATAGACAAAATCAGAAAAAAGCTAGCACTAATTCTACCATACGTGTTGTCTTCAGAATAAAATTACATAATCTCACATCATCGTAGTTGTTAAAACTTTTATACCAAGTTGTAGATAAATGAATGAAGTATATGTGGAAAAAGTTTGAACATCCTAGCTCTACTAATAAAATTTTTACAAGGGGGGTGCCCTTTTGACCCCCCCTTAGGTGTTCGTGTGACTATTTTTACCTTAGGGCTTCTAGGGTTAATATCTCAAATTGACGCCATTCATTACATGCCATCCTATATTACTTATATATATCAGTTTATATATAAGAAAGACCCTTTTTGTCAAAATGATATGCCATCCTAAATTACTTAAACAGTAATTTCTAAAGCAGAGAAATATATAGATATATATAAATGAGATGTATATGAGAGACTTCTTTTGTCAAAATGGAGTCAATTAGTGAATGAAAAAATATTTTTCAATGGTTATTTGATAAATTTCAAGAATGTCGGCACCAACTGGAGAGTGACGCTGGATTTTATTGCCCTGGTTGGAATTCAGTGGTGACCCCTGTAGATACTCCCTGTGTTATTGGGCTTCATTGTCCACAGGGAGCCCCAGCCCAGTGCCATGTGACCCAGGCACCTATAGAAATCTCACTCAGGCATCTGTATGTCTTGAATGCCCTGCTGGTTTCTACTGTGTACCTGAAGAGGTTGTTGCAGGTAATGATAAAAATTAACACAAGTACATGTAGTCTATTATAGTACAATTTAATATTATCATTTTATTATTAGTAAGTTGATATCAGCATCGACATGAGTGAGTGAAACATAAACTTGATAACAGTGCATTTAAATTCATCCTGTTTTAGAATTATTATCCCATCGAACGAAGTTCTGAGGGATATAGGGAACGCCTCCGTCCGTTTGTCCGTCCGTACGTCCGTCCGTCCGTCCGTCCGTCCATCCGTACGTCCGTCCGTCCATCCGTCCGTCCGGGCAATAACTCAAATACTGTTGGCCCGATTTTGTTCATATTTTGTACACATATACTCTATGGGAGTAGAAGTTCTGCTCGAAAGCCGATTTTCAAAATGGCCGCTCATTTCAAAATGGCGGCCATTTTAGTGCCGATTTTACAGTAATTTAGGTGCAATATGTAAAACTGTAATAGCAATATGTTTTTAGTGTAAAAAAATTATAAAGGACATTAATAAAGCTACAAATGTAGATATTAAAAAAGCACATGGCAGCCATCTTGAAAAATGGCGGCCTTTACTCGTTATTTTACGATTTTTGCTGTAACTCGAAAAGTAGTGGAGCGATTTTGTTCATATTTGGTATGTGAATACTATAAACATTGCACACTGTCTAAAGACACTTTTTGTAGACGTAAAAAGTGCCCCGCCTACCCAAAAGTCAAGTTACCATAATAACCCTTATTTTTGACAATTCAAATAAGAGACACTGATATTTTAAGAATCAATCAGAAAGTATTTTCTATACATTATGTGAAAATTTCATGAGAAAATATCAAAAATCTTTGAAATGAGAGCATTTTTCCGTGAACTTATTGAACAACCTGGTATTTTGTTTGTAAAAATGCCAGCCATTTCTGTTCGATGGGATTCGCTACGCTTTGGCGTTGCCGTTGTTCTGGTTTTTATATGACACATTGACACAACCAAACCAAAAGTGGTGACATATTGTTAGACATATTGCCAAAAATGAAATATAGAATTCATTCATTCAGTCTTTTTGATGTAGTGAATATGATTTTTGCCACATGATTTGGCTATTAGGTGTAATAAGCCTGATCATGATAAATGCACTTTTGCAGTAATTGCCCAACTGAATAATCATGAAATAGTGGTATTATCAAAACTAAAGGTGGGCTACTTGCGTAGTAATTAGAATTTGGAATTGAGTCATGACACCAAATTATTATTGTACCTGTTTTTATATATTCTAGGGACCTGGTTCACGGACAAACCTGAGTATTTCAGCTTTTGGTGACATTGCTCTGGGGATATTTGGCTTTGGCTTTGAAGATGTCCTTATACATTTACTTTGCCATGTTTGGCCCGATGTTTTTGAGTTGTCCCCCCATGAGATTCAAGCTTTTATGTCTACCATAGAGGGGATGAGGGTTGGACTAGGGCCCTCTGGAGTACTGCAATACATCATCCAGGTAAGCTATAATACATATGCCCTACTACAGTACCAGTATATACATTATCAGTTTTCTATAGAAACATGTGATGAAGAAACTCTATATTGGATCACCCATTGTTGGGGACATATAGTACACATTTGTGTTCTTGTAATGCCTTGTCTTACTTTGTTTTGTAAAAGTTTTTAGTATTTCCCTAGCACTTTTGTAACCAATGCTTACACTTTTGTAACCTTTTCCAGATTTGTGATCTTTATCTTGGTACTCCAGCCACAATAATGGATACACAGATACATCATTCATGGACAGTCATTGACAATTTATATATCTACTGCTGCTGCTAAGTCACAGTAGAGAAAATGTTCCATAAAGTAGAAGTTGAACTATGTGTACCTGGTAGACTGCTTATAAGTTTTTGATAGCACAGTTTTATTTCAAAAACTGTCAATATATATATAATATATTTTTGGAATATGTATATTGAATTATATTAATGTATGAGACTCATTAAGCAACTTACTCAAGTTAGCATCATTTAGCTATTAAGTTTAATATTTTTATCTTTTGGAAAGAAATGTACCATACTGTTAACCAAGTTACTGTATGTGTACTGTGGTAAGATCAAGCTTGGATATTTGGTCCAACAATTAAGTTTATGTGAATTTACAAATGGTTTGTTGCTTGATAAGATTTGGATATTTTTTCCTTACATTATGATCAACATCGACCATCTGTCATTCACTTCTTAACATTCATTCTCAAAGATAAAATACAGTGTCATCATAGTAATGGTGATGGTATGTGACAATATAGTCACATTTGCTATGGCGGTCATGCAATCTACTACTATTAGTAAACTCATAGACACGCTGTAGACCTTGAGGCAATCATAATTTCTATGATTGATGTACAGTGTCATCATAGTATGGGTGATGGTATGTGACAATATAGTCACATTTGCTATTGCGGTCATGCAATCTACTACCATTAGTAAACTCATAGACACGCTGTAGACCTTGAGGCAATCATAATTTCTATGATTGCTGTACAGACAGTGTCATCATAGTAATGGTGATGGTATGTGACAATATAGTCACATTTGCTATGGCGGTCATGCAATCTACTACTATAAGTAAACTCATAGACACGCTCTAGACCTTGAGGCAATCATAATTTCTATGATTGCTGTACAGTGTCATCATAGTATTGGTGATGGTATGTGACAATATAGTCACATTTGCTATGGCGGTCATGCAATCTACTACTATAAGTAAACTCATAGACACGCTCTAGACCTTGAGGCAATCATAATTTCTATGATTGCTGTACAGTGTCATCATAGTATTGGTGATGGTATGTGACAATATAGTCACATTTGCTACGGCGGTCAGGCAATCTACTACTATTAGTAAACTCATAGACACGCTGTAGACCTTGAGGCAATCATAATTTCTATGATTGCTGTACAGTGTCATCATAGTATTGGTGATGGTATGTGACAATATAGTCACATTTGCTAGGGCGGTCAGGCAATCTACTACTATTAGTAAACTCATAGACACGCTGTAGACCCTGAGGCAATCATAATTTCTATGATTGCTGTACAGTGTCATCATAGTATTGGTGATGGTATGTGACAATATAGTCACATTTGCTATGGCGGTCATGCAATCTACTACTATAAGTAAACTCATAGACACGCTCTAGACCTTGAGGCAATCATAATTTCTATGATTGCTGTACAGTGTCATCATAGTATTGGTGATGGTATGTGACAATATAGTCACATTTGCTACGGCGGTCAGGCAATCTACTACTATTAGTAAACTCATAGACACGCTGTAGACCTTGAGGCAATCATAATTTCTATGATTGCTGTACAGTGTCATCATAGTATTGGTGATGGTATGTGACAATATAGTCACATTTGCTATGGCGGTCAGGCAATCTACTACTATTAGTAAACTCATAGACACGCTGTAGACCCTGAGGCAATCATAATTTCTATGATTGCTATAGAGACGTTCGTGGACTTTCTACGTTCGTCACAGATTCTTTCTTCATTGGAATATGGTACTTTGCAACCTTGAAGTGACCATAGATTTTCTATAGTCGCTGTAGGATTTCTCAATTTCGAGAAGTACATGTTTTGTACACCTGAGGCATGAACATTCTACTAGATGTTAAACTATCTGGTAGACTGCTTAAAAGTTTTGAATTCCACATATATGTGATATAATGATACATATATGGTATAAGGGAGTCAAATGAAGAAATGGAACAAGTCTCCCTCTTTCTCTTGCAAACTATATATCTCATCTCTCACTGGAGTAAGTCTCTTTTTATCTGTATATATAATTGTGTTATTATATACATGTATACACAGAGAGAGGGTGGTGTGAGGGGAGCGACTTACCCCAGTAAATATCATTTAGCTATTGAGCTTAATAATTTAATATTTTGGAAACAAAATGATAACTTAGTTCAAATGAAGCTAAAGTATAAAAATTGACTGATAATTAGCCCTGTAATTTTTTAAATGCCATACTGTTAATCAAGTTACTGTATGTGTACTGTGTGAAGATCAAAGTTGGATATTTGTTTTTTACAACAATGTTTTTATTCATTTCAGTTTATATATGGTTTGTTGATTAATAAGATTTGGATATTTGGTCCTTACATATGATCAACATCCGACCATTTGTCAGTCACTTTTTAACATAAAAGATAGAGTCATCATAGTAATGGTGAACATATGATTGCTATAGAGATGTTCATAGACTTCCTACGTTCGTCATGGGTATTTTTCATGATTGAAATTCCCATCTTACACTTACACCTCAATTTTATTTTATATTATTCGTTACAATTGTGCTTTGTAAGTTCATTACTATTGGAGTAAATGGTTGTACAACTTACTTGTATTTTCAAATTGCACTTCATTCGCACATTATTTGGGTGATGGACTCCCATCTTACATTTAAATTTTATTCAAATGCCTCGTACGATTTATTCATTATGGAGTTACACTGTAATGTATAACTTCATTTTGTCAGTTGCAATAGCTCTATATCCTTGTTTGAAGTCCTCTAAGGCTCACAAGAATAATCTTATTTTTGTCCGATTGTTTTTTGGACTTACTCCACCAATCCGTTTATGTAAAAAAAATAGTCCTTCAAAAATAAGCCTTCTAGAGGTCCATATATAGATTTTGACGTAGATCTGAGGAGCGTATCACTCTTTCTACATTCTGCAACTGCTGTTATTATTTTTCTATCTATTAGAGAGGCATTCTCCAAAAACAAAAAATGAATTGTACTTGGGGAAGTAATATTCGAAGTTAGAATAATTACAAATGCAACCATCCACAAAACACTCAAAGTTGATAATTAAAGATATGAAGTACTGTAAATATCAATGACAATGTTCCAATACCAAAGCTCCGAAAGATTACATAGTTAATGTCATGCTATAGTCTATTTCAAATAAACATAGTAATTGTATCTAGCTGTAAATAATTGTGCCCAGTTATGAAAATTAGATGATTGTAGATATAAAACCACAAGGCTTAGTTGATTGTAGATATAAAACCACACGGGTTAAAGTTTACAAAATCTACCACTGTAATGATAATTTAATTCAGATATATAATAATAACTTAATATGCAAATCACATGTACATTCCTGTTGGTGGACTGCTTCACATGATACTGTATATGGTATAATAATTTTGTGAATAATCTATAAGGAAATAAAAGAGATAATACGATAATATGCTCTTGTCTACTTTATTTTTATAAATATGTATGCACTAGTACCAAATGCAGAGGACCGAAAGTTGTAACAGAATCCAAAGAAAACTAGAAAAAGCAACCCACAGAGTAATAAATCCAAATGAACAGAATTTCTATTCTATGCGATCAGACGGACTTTGAAATAGGTAGAACATAAAGATATCATCATATTGACTTTATTATTAAAAAACGTCGTAGAATCTAAACTGAAAGTGAAATTTCCATTCTGATTTCAGATACTCATTATTTTGACACCTCAAAGGTTGAATTTGGAGAATTTTTATTGACCTTAAAGGCCTCAGCCAGAGTTTGAAGATATTGTTGAACCATCTTAATGTAATTTATCATGACTTTAAAGGGTGTATTGGAAATTTCTGAAAAAAAAGTTGACATTTGTATTGTATTGTAGCCCTTCATAATGAAATAGCAATATCCATTCCCCCCTACATCGAGAAATCTAACAGAACTGGCAGAAGAGCCCAACAATTCATCCCTCCCTTTGCCAGAACTGATACCTACAAGAATAGCTTCTTTCCCAGAACAATAACAGATTGGAACAACCTCCCTTCCACAACCAGGATGATAGAAGACAGAACTGCCTTCCGTGATGCCCTGGTATCTAGTATGCAGGGTTAGCTCATGACACGAGACCTGTTTTTAGACAGTATTTTAATTGTACATACTGCCATTTTAGATTTTTAGCTTGGATGACTTCCAAAACTAATTGTGTTGCTCTATAAAGAGCTTTAATTAGTATAATGATAGATGTAGATTTGAAAAAGGTTTTTGGTACAGGGTGACCCAAAAAATGCAACTCTCCATTTCTTCAATAGTTTTCTTAAATGGAGGCTGATTGCTCTCAAATTTGCCACACAACGACTTTATTCAATGTGAGATCCTCTGACAGTTTTTTTCTCTTAAAAATCATAGCCTCCATCCTAGGAGAGATCATCTTCTCATTGAAATAACTAGTGAGCCAGGTTATGCTATCATTAAAGGTGTGAGGAGTATCTCCATCCTTTTAGAACCACTGTTCTTGTCTATTGAGGCCTTTATGTCTCTCTAAAACTGCCCAGAACTTTCTGAGAACGTTGTTTGTTAACACTAACAGTGTTGCATTATCGATTATCATCCTCAAACCAAAAGGTGCTAATGATTCCATGTTTAGAAATTGCAGCCCAAGCTGTGCATTTAACAGAATGAAGGGACTTTGAAGCACTTCATCTGAAATTTGTGATCCCAGAACACATTATTTCTTGAGTTTGAATGACCAAAAAGAAGGAAATGTGCTTCATCCGAAAACCAAACATAGGCAATTGACGACATTTGGAGCATATTTTGGAACGAACATAACTCTATCAATATAAGACTATGCTCATTAAAACTTTGCCAAAGGATCCCATGAGCAATCAAACTTCATTTAAGAAAAGTATTGAAGAAATGGAGGGTTGCATATTGCTGGAGTCACCCTGTATCTAATTTTTGAACATAACCCATACGTTCAATTTGGAGCATTTTCTATTTTGACCTACTTTTGGGAAACCATATCTCAAAAGTGGGTCAAAATACTTTCTGACGGCAAAAGGCTAACGCTATTAGCATACTCTTTGCTATCTGTATACCAAATTTCGAAGAATATTATGAAAGTGTAATGTAAGAATCGTAAAAATAAGGAAAACTATAGATTTGACCTAAATTTTGACCTAGGCCTTTTAGTGTCCAAATTTTAATGCAAAGGGGGTTTTGAGATCTGCTTTCACTAAGTTGACTGTTTCCAGGCTGTATCTCGTGTTTTTACAATTCATAATTTTCTTCAGCCCCATTGACATAACATGGGATACCAAAATAGCGATTTTTGAGATTTCAAAACGCCATAACTTCGGATCGAAATTTGGTTTGCAGATTCGGATTCCTGAGAAAATTCTACCCTCAGTTCACAAGTCATGCGTTGAATTTGGAGAACTTTTTGTGTTGACCTACTTTCCGGACACCATATCTCAAAAGTGGGTCAAAATACTTTCTGACGGCAAAAGGCTAACACTATAACCACACTCTTTGCTACCTGTATACAAAATTTTGAAGCAAATTATTAAAGTGTAGTGTCAGAATCGTAAAAATAAGGAAAAACTATGAATTTGACCTAGATTTTGACCTAGGCATTTTGGTGTCCAAATTTTGAAGCTATGTAGCTTTTGAGGTCCCCTTCTTTAATAAAAGTTCATTATGTTGAGTTTTACCCAGTCTATATCTTGTATTTTACACTTCAAAAAAGTCTTTTTTCCCATTGACTTAACATGGTGCACCAAATTGAGCGATTTTTGAGATTTCAAAACGCTTTAACTTCCGAACCGGCAGTCGGATCGAAATTTAGTTTGCAGATTCAGATTCCTGAGAAAATTCTACTCTTATTTCATAGCTCATATGTTAAATTTGAATTTTTTTTTATTTTGACCTACTTTTCGGACACCATATCTCAGAAGTGGGTCAAAATACTTTCTGACGGCAAAAGGCTAACACTATTAGCACATTCTTTGCTACCTGTATTCAAAATTTTGAAGCAAATCTTTAAAGTGTAATGTCAGAATCGCAAAAATAAGGAAAAACTATGAATTTGACCTAGATTTTGACCTGGGCATTTTGGTGTCCAAATTTTAAAGATAGATAGCCTTCGAAGTCCCATTCTTTCATGGGCTTTTAGAATGTTAAGCTGTACTCAGTCTATATCTGGTATTTTACACATCAAAAAAATCTTTTTTCTCATAGACATAATATGGGGCACCAAATTTAGCGATTTTTGAGCTTTCAAAACGTCATAACTTCCGAACCGAGAGTCGGATTGAAAATTGGTTTGCAGATTCGGATTCCTGACACAGTTCTACTCCTAATTTATAATTCATACATTGAATTTGGAGGATTTTTTGTTTTGACCTACTTTCCAGACGCCATATTTCAAAATCAGTAAGAGTAATCAAAAAACGGATGGCACACTTATAAATGGGCTGTTTATAAGCTACATGATGATCAAAAGATGGAGATGTTTCGATAAATAACGACGAAGATAATTGATAGAATATTGAAAATGTAAGATTTGACCCAGTTCTAGGATAGGATAGGATATAGAATAGGAAGGAAGGATAGGATAGGAAGGAAAGGATAGAAAGGAAGGATAAATAGGAAGGATATGATCAGACAGGATAGGAAGGAAGGATGGATGATTTTTTCTATATTTTCTTTGCTACTCTTGACTTTCTATCAGGATATCAACAGATCGATTTTTCTCGAAATTTTCAAAACGCCTTAACTTTCGAACCGGAAGTCGGATTGGATTTTGGTTTGCAGATTCAGATTCCTGAGAAAATTTTACACTTATTTCATAGCTCATATGTTAAATTTGGTTAACTTTTTAGTTTGACCTACTTTCAGGTCGCCATATCTCAAAATCGGTAGACGTAATCAAAAAACCGATCACACACAGTCGAATCATCTTTTTATTGGCTACACGTTAAAAAAAAAATTGTGAAAAAATATCGAAAAATGACAAAGATAATTGACAAAATGATAATTTGACCTAGATTTTGACCTTTGACCTAGATAAAAATTTGACCTAATTTCCCAGAAACTAGGTCACATACCCTAACTGACCATGTAAGTAGATTTACTCCAAGTCTTCTAGTTACTGAGAAAACGTGACAAGAGAGAATAATAATAATAAGAAAACTGGCAAAAGCAATAGACTCCAGATTTTCAATCTGGAGTCTAATAATTTGTTGTTTGACCCCTTGCGATAATATGGATAAATTCTGGTAATAAAATGATTTAAATAGTAAGAAAACTAAAATGTTCGCAATTCTGAATTAACTAAATATTCCACACAATTTTGTTGAATCTGCTTGGCTTATATTTGAAAAATCAAACAAAATCTGAAAAGCATACTTGTGTAATTACACTAATTAAACACCGATTTTTACACTAAAATAATCGTAAATTTTTACTTTATGGTAATATATTTTTTGTCCCCATGCTTAGAATAACGCTCTGTGTCTTATAAAATGTATAAAAGTTCGAATCAAAATATTTACGTTTTTTTGACCCCTTGTGATGAAAGACATTTTTCGACCCGAAAGCCTGAAGTTTTTTTGCAAACGGTATTTCACAAGAATCAAAATATATGCACCTCCTTATTGCTTCAAATGTTGCTGCGCTATAGTGTGCTACGGATCCTTCATATTCGGAAGTCATGCCATGGACTACATGTTTCAAGAGGAATATCAGCTGAAATAATGTTTATCTAGGGGGTTTCTTTGTAGATAATAAAAACAGATGTAAGCCTTGATGAAATATCCAAACTTAAATATATTTTGACACTGGTCCATGATCGTTGAATGGCCCCTCTACACTTTTGTTGCACCTTTAACATTGCGTCAATGGAGAAATTGGCCCACACTCTAGAAAAGTCGAAAATGATTCAAATTAATAACATAGCTGTTTAAATCAAAGCTACTATTCTGGAAAACTTTCCACTGAATTCAAATACAGTGACGTGTCGCAAAAAGCTCGCGCACGCATTGTTACACATTCTGTGGCGTAATCCAGAGGATCCTCGCTTTTAACATGATAGAATGTGACGTTTTTGAGAAAAATGTACACACATGAAAATCCTTTCGTCCTCCATATTTGCCTCTATATCTCAAAACATTTTGGACGAATAACTCTGATATCATATATATATTGTTAATGGGCTAGGAGCATCATAAAACACGAATCAATTGATATTTTAGGTGAAATAAATATACTTGTTGCTGTGCTTGAAAATAGGCGAATGGCGTAAATTAGACCTATTTTAATGAATTTTGAAAACCTTTCATCCTCCACTTTTCCACATACAACAGAAAACACATACTTTTGTGAACAAAATCAACTATTTATTAATAAACTAGAGTTTAGGAGCAAAATAATCATGTATGATTTATTAAAAATTGATCTCGTATTTTTTGTTTAATGTACACCTGAAAAGTTGAAGGTACCATAAAATGAGCAAAAAACTAGCTAGATTCTATTTTTCAGACTCTATGACGTCACAATATGGGACGCTTACTAAAATTCATCCTTTGAAATAAAACTTCCATCTACCTTTATCAAGACGAAAAATAAGTATAATAGTCATATATTGTTTGAGTTATGAGCGTTTAAAGACGAAAAATAATTCAAAATGTAACGTGTCAACATGGGATATTTGCCAGATGTTTTGGTAAAAAACTCTTTTTAAAAAACGAACGCGCAAAAAATGTGAACGGAGTGTAGTTGATCTAAAATCTTCATAGAAACAGCTTTAAAATGATATATAACTTTATTAGAATATTATCTTATAATCCGGGGAATCAAAGTTACATTCACGCGATACCCTTAAAAAACAAATGCGCCACCTTTTTGCGACACGTCAGTATACTATAGCTATTAAAAATGCAGTACGTACATTATCTTGAGGAGATAATGGTTAATATTGTGCTCAAATTCAAGCTGTGTTTTGTAATACTAGTAAACTGGTGCCAGGATATAAATTTCATTATTTTCATACGTTGTACCAACTAACCCTGATGTGTGAAATTAATTTTTCATTCCACCAAGAGCTGCTCAGCCAGATACAAGTAAGTCAACTTTATGTTACAAAACCTCGTTGTTACAACCCCAACTTTATCATTTTCACTCATTTTTATGTCACCACCAAAAGTGGTGACATATTGTTATGGTCTCCATTTTTTTGCGACGGCGGTTGGTGGTTGGCGTCCGGCGTCTGGCGTCCGGCGTCCGGCGTCTGTAACAATTTCTTACAACTTCCTATAACTTAACAAATGCTGTTTAGACTGACTTCAATTTTTTTCTAAATCATCTACATGTTCTCAGAAGTTCAAATCTGACTTTAGATTTGACATTTGACCTTCAATGAGCTTCTCAAGGTCAAAAAGGTCTTTTTTCAACTTGCTTCACATTGACTAAATTTTTTTTCAAAATCATCTACATGTTCTCAGAAATTCAAATCTGACTTTAGATTTGACATTTGACCTTCAAATCTGACTTAAGATTTGACATTTGACCTTCAATGACCTTCTCAAGGTCATAAAAGGTCAAAAAGGTCTGTTTTCAACTTGCTTCAAATTGACTAAATTTTTTTTTCAAAATCATCTACGTGTTCTCAGAAATTCAAATCTGACTTAAGATTTGACATAAGATTTGACATTTGACCTTCAATGACCTTCTCAAGGTCAAAAAAGGTCAAAAAGGTCTGTTTTCAACTTGCTTCAAATTGACTAAAAAAAAATTTCAAAATCATCTATGTATTCTCAGAAATTCAAATCTGACTTTAGATTTGGCTTAAGATTTGACATTTGACCTTCAATGACCTTCTCAAAGTCAAAAAAGGTCAAAAAGGTCTTTTTTCAACTTGCTTCAAATTGACTAAATTTTTTTTTCAAAATCATCTACATGTTCTCAGAAATTCAAATTTGACTTTAGATTTGACATTTGACCTTCAATGACCTTCTCAATGTCAAAAAAGGTCAAAATAGTATTTTTTCATCTTGCTTCAAATTGACTAAATTTTTTATTCAAAATCATCTACATGTTCTCAGAAATTCAAATATGACTTTAGATTTGACTTTAGATTTGACATTTGACATTCAGTGACCTTCTCAAGGTCAAAAAAGGTCAAAAAGGTCTTTTTTCAACTTGCTTCAAATTGACTAATTTTTTTTCAAAATCATCTACATGTTCTCAATAATTCAAATCTGAATTTAGATTTGACATTTGACCTTTAATGACCTTCTCAAGGTCAAAAAAGGTCAAAAAGGTCTGTTTTCAACTTGCTTCAAATTGACCAATTTTTTTTTTCAAAATCATCTTCATCTTTTCAGAAGTTCAAATTTGACTTAACAAGTTCTCAGAAGTTCAAATCTGACTTTAAATTTGACCTTTGACCTTCAATGACCTTCTCAAGGTCAAAAAGGTCTTTTTCAACTTGCTTCAAATTGACTAATTTTTTTTCAAAATCATCTACATGTTCTCAGAAGTTCAAATCTGACTTTAGATTTGACATTTGACCTTCAATGACCTTGAAAAGGTCAAAAAGGTCTTTTTTCAACTTGCTTCAAATTTACTTAATTTTTTTTTCAAAATCATCTACATGTTCTCAGAAGTTCAAATCTGACTTAAATTTGACATTTGACCTTCAATGACCTTCTCAATGTCAAAAAAAGTCAAAGAGATATTTTTTCAACTTGCTTCAAATTGACGAATTTTTTTTTCAAAATCATCTACATGTTCTAAGAAGTTCAAATCAAACCTTCTTAAGGTCAAAAGGTATTTTCCAACTTGCTTTGAATTGACCAAATTGTTTTAGGTGGTGACATTTTGTCATGTTAATGCCTTGTTCAAAAGTGTGATATCACGAAATGTATTAAAGCTCACCACTCGTCAAATCATAGGGCTATAACATTGAGCCACCTATTGCCAGTTAACTCATTCATTAAACATCCGTGATGCTTTGCTAAGACTTATGCATGTTATGCTGGACTAGGGATGGGATGGGAATGGTAGGCCAAAGGGGAAACTAGAACATGCTTGAATATCGGTGTGAGGTTGGGTACGGTCGTGTACGCAACTCCTACATCCACCCGTATGCAAGCATATGGAACACCTTGTGGTCTGGTGGTAGACCACATAAACACTTGTTCTAGTGGAACTTAGGTGGACTTGGTGGCTTTTGGGTTCCACTTTTCTTTCCTTCTGATCCAAAGCCATCTGGAACTGTCCTCGGCTACTGAGCTGATGGACTTAAAGTGTGCGCCTGACCCGGCTACGTATAGCACAGAGTTTATACTGGCGGATTAGACTAGTTCATTTTTTATATGTGTGTGAAAGCTTACTCTTATTTGCGTTTTTTCGTTTAGTACGGTTCTGTTATAATTGCCGAGGTCATATAACCGGGATAAAACAATGATTATCGTTGACTGCCCACACACAAAACATACGTTGAGTGAACAGTGTTATTACAAACAACAGGCTTTAGAATACAAAGCGTAGTGTGATAATAAGCTGTACACTACCACTGCTGCATGTACATATTACTAATTTACTAGGGCTCCCAAAGAGTGGATAGGGAGGTTGTGTTTGTCACTTTTAAATTTTACATTTCAAAATTGTCATTTTACATGTCATAATTTGTTGGTTTCATTCGTTTAGCCAATCAAAACATTGTAAAACAATAAATTGTCTGTTACGTACAATCAATTTTGTTCAGTTTTGATTAGTTGTCAGAATAAAGTTACGTTCATCTGAATCCATGTATCAAAACAAAATTTTTTATTTTTACTTCAAAATACTTCAGTGAGATGAAGGCTCGGAATTGTCACATGCAATAACTTATTGTCGTATTCGTTATTTTATCTTCTCGATAGTAGCATTTAGTCGCACATTTGATGCCAGGTCACCTTGTCGCGTACCTCTTGGGGAACCCCACATTTATGTGTGTACTCATGGAAGTAAATTCCCCGGTGTAGCCGAGAGCCACAAACTTTTCAACAGGTTCGAAATGACCAATTTCTCTCATATATACTCTAAATATTTTATTATTTAGCACCTACAAAGTATTGCTAATAACCATATGTAATTTCAATAAGGAAACTTATCTGGCTACATGTAAATTCAACATCAACACTAGCTGTTCTCTCAACACGTCCTGGCTTACCTTGTGGTGACAAACCCTGGATTTTCGCTATTTATAGTTTATCAACACCTGGACGCATGCGCATTTTATAGTTTATCGGGCACTTTAAGGGCCTTCTTAAGTTCCTTGGGTTGTAGTCCTAGCTTGGACAATAGGGTTCTAACTGATATTGCTGGGAACCCCCTGCAGCCAACTTCTATTGGGAAGATGGATGCGTGCCAGCCTCTTGTCTTCGCTTCATCTGCGAGGTCTCGATATTTCGCTGCTTTGATCTCGTGTGAAACCTCCAGTCTTTCTTCCCATGGAACAGCTGTTAGTTCGATGATAAGAATGGTCTTAGTCGAACTGGAAGTCATAACCATGTCTGGGCGCAAGGTTGTTATAGCCACATCCTGAGGAAAGAGTAGTTTCTGGGTATGTTTGCAGCTCTGGGGTTTCCCTTCCTTGATAAAGTCTATCTTCTGTTCTTGTTGCAGTATTGTTGCTAAAAACCTCTCTGCTGGTCGACGTATTTGGCGATTTCTTGAAGACCATTGTTGTGTCTCCATGTGTTTCTGCCTTGGCTCAAGGACTGGGAGCAAGAGCTAAGGATGTGTTGCAGATTGCAGCAGTCTCCTAAGCAAAGTGGACACTTATCAGAATCTTCCTTTCCCCAGACTTTCAGATTGGCTGGTTTCGGCAAGAGGTCGGAAAATGCTCGAAGAAGAAAGCTAAGGCGTCCCTGGTCCTGAGTCCAAAGCTCCTTCCGGGTCAAAGGTCTCTCTAGAACTGCTTCCCAGTTGGTCCATCTTCCTCGTTTAGCCTGGCCTACTGCTTTGACGTGCCTTTCTTCTTCTACTGAACGTCTTACTCCCTGCACAATCTGACTCCTTTTCTCCTTTGGGGTGATTGCCTGAGGACCATAGTGTCATAGACCCAAGCGGCCTTTGCACACAACCCCGACTATGTAGGACTATGTAAACAACTACTTTAAATATAAAACATTAACCCTCATGTCTCGGGGGGGGGGGGGTGTGTTGGGTCTAGATTTTTTCAACAGTACTTTTTGCATTTTTTCGGCAAAGTTATAATAGTAGATGCCAATAAAATTCATATAACATTGATTGCTACATGTACCTTGTTTCTAATGTCTAAAAATGCATTTAGCATATTCAGAGACGTATTGAATTGTCTTTCTTATGTGCTTTATATCAAAACCGAGCCACCATTGACTATGTTATGAATTTTTAAAGGTATTAAAAACAGTTACGAGTAATCGCCAAGCATTTTCGAATCGTTTTGATTTTCTCTCCAAAAAAATTGAGAGAAAACCTTTCAAAAATTACTTGATGCTCACCCGTGAATATTGCATATTTCTGAATGTTTATACACACTGTGGGAATAGAATTAAGATGATACGTTATTACAAACTTTAGATTTTTTATCCTCCCAAACCACCATTTTTTCAATTTCACTAATTTGATGTTTATGCCGTTGCTAGGTGGTTGCTAGGTGGTTGCTAGGCAAAAGCACGGACCGAAATTATATTGAAGTAATACAAAGTCAAGCATTTATCTATTTCTGCGTTGAAATGAATGCTAAAGACAAAACAAGTTGAACTTGAAATTGTTTGTTCAATTTCGCGTTACATTGGGATTTCGCGATACCTGCTATCTGAAAGTCTATAGGTCCAGATACAGAAAGCACTTCTTAACATAAAACGGATTTTCTTTGAGATTATCTCGCATTTTTGGCACAAAACATGTTTTGAAAGAAAATTGACATTTTATAGTCTAGGTCACGTTCACCTCGATTTGACCTTTGTTGACCTATTCTTCAAATAATGCAATTTACTTTTCTGAAGAATTAATTGAATGAGATTAACAGCAATACCAACATTATTGATGAACTATCGCGGGGGGGGGGGGGGTCCAAATGACCGCTCCCCCATCGTGACTTAGTGTTATGAAAAAAGGTTTCAGTTCGTATAGTACACTTTGTAAATTGTCGCTCGAAATGCAAGAGTTCTAAATGCAAAACTTCAATTAATTCACCATTGAACCATGTGATGTTACTTTGTTGAATAGACCCCTCAAAATACGGTTCAGGTTGCTGTGTATCTCATAAAGCACAGATTCTATTGGCTGTGCTTATTTGCTTGCCAATCTTTTAACATGTTTAACAGTTAAGCGATGTAGTATACAATGAAGAAACTCTGATATCATTTGGCAGGTTATCATCGTGTAGTGTTAAGTGTGTAGAACACATTGCTGCTCCAGAGCTGGTTCTCGATATGTCTGAATCTGATGAGCTTGTGTTTGGTGCTGGTGCAAAGACAGCAGACGAAGCGTATGCTTTGGCTACTCGAGTGGGACAGGAAAACATCACACAAGCAGAAGTTGGTGACTTCTATGAGCAATGGGCAGCAACTTATGACAAGGTATGCCCTTTCAATTTGGTTTAATAATATTTGATATTTACGATACCGAAGTCAATAATCAATTGTGTCATTTAGGGGTTCTCAAACAGGACATTGGGCTTGCTTTTTAGAACTTTTTGTTGGCACTAGGAAATTTTAACGATAGTTACACCTTCTTCTAAGGCCACTGTATCGTGGCCTTCGTCCAAAGATAAATTCCTGCATGTATAACTGGTCATGTCGTAATCATAAAATTTGAAATCATATGTCCGCCATTTTTCCACATCACAATTTGAATTGCGAGTTTTGGTCTTATTACTTCACAAAAAATTCCAAAACACACATGAAGTGATCAGTGTATTAGTTCACATCTTCTGGATCGCTAACTTAGAATTTACAGCCAGTTACTAAATGTCAGACATTAACGACATTTCGTCCAGTTTTCGAATATGGGACAGCATCTTTTCCAATCAATCGAGGTTGGGCCATGCAGCCGAAGGTAAGCCATACAACCGAAGGTAAGCCTTACAACCGAATTTTGCCGATTCAATCTGACGGAGAAGGCCGAGCCTCTATTTTTGACCAATTAGAGACGTCCTCTTCACATTCGTGGTTCCCTCGGCCAACTTCGTTTGCAAAGAAAAGCTTCGGCAATCTTCGGCAATCTCCGGCTTTTCTTGAGGTATCTTCGGTTGATTGCCAAAAGTCGACACCCTTTCGAATATCGCCATTTTTCTTGGAGCCATTTTGTTTTAATTTAGGCGAAATTCTGACGAAATCATGTCATATCTCATCAAGGAGCCGAGCCGGTTCTGTTTTAATGAATGATTTATTTATCTGGCGATTTTTAAAATATTCAATAAATTTATGACACGGCGGCCAGCTTTTTTCAAATGGAGTTCACAGTATTCCAAATGAAATTACCTCTCGCCAAGTAAGCCAAGTATTGGCTAGAGACTCGAACAAGTGTACTTCATTCTATAGCGACAAATTAAGCATCAAACCTCCATATTGCAAATAACTTGCCGCTTTCATACTCTATTATTCAGTATTGGTGGGCGAAATGATGTTCCGATACACATTGTATTTTCAATGCAAAGTAACGCAGCTATTATTTAAGATTTCTAAATATCAAGTTTACATGTTGCATTTTTCACAATGCAGGATCTCCTTCTCAATGGTTATAACAGCTCAACCCCAATTGTTGCTGCAAGAGAGTTGGCAGAATACATTGACGACAAGAGTGCACCAGTCTTGGACCTTGCTGCTGGGACTGGTATTGTTGGAGGAGAGGTAGGAATATCTAGTAGTAGTACACATTTTGCTGATCGGCTAACCTTGCCTTGGTTTTCAATATATTACATTATGATACATTGTGCTTTTTACAGTTGAAGAGACTGGGCTTCACTCACATAGACGCCTTAGATGCCAGCCAAGCAATGCTCGACCAAGCCAAAGAGAAAAATGTCTATAAAAGGCTTATATGTGACTATATGGGACCAAACAGATTGGATATTGAGGACAGTATGTATTATAAAAGAACAGATTTTCGAAAACGAATACCCAATATATTTTCCATGTGTTAGTTGTCGGTAGAAAGAAAATTGCATTTTTGAAAAATTAATGCAATTTTTTGCATTACTTCTGTTTACAGGATGAACAAATTCTTTATGTCTAAAAGATATGATGATAATTTTTTTAGTGATATGAATATGATGCAAGTGCTAGTTAACTTCTCTATTTCTAGATACTTATGGGGGTGCTGTAGCAACTGGTTGCTTTCTAGAGGGTCATGCAAAACAGGACTGTTTCTTAGAAATCATAAGAGTTGTTAAGCCAGGTGATAATATAAATATGACATCTTTACTTATTAACCTACGTACATCAAATGTAATGCGTCAAGTCTTTATCTAGGACCAAATGTCTGAATGTAATCCTGTTATAAGAAAAATAGACGCAATACTATCCTGGCCTAACGTTAAAAGAAATAATATTAACATATCAGATCAAATGTTGATAAATGTTAATAATGTGAAGATATCAGATCAAATGTTAACAGATGTTAATAATGTTTTTTTTATTTTTTTTTTTTATTTATTTTTTATTGCATCTTTCTTACACAAAACATTATACATAATATACATACAGATCAAATCCATATACATTGAATATTCAATAATATTATTACATATTTATATTTAACAGTTATATGTTTTTAAGCTTTTCAGACCATCTCCATTCAGAGTATTTAATTTAACTTAATTTAAAAGGGTACCATTTGAAAATACAATACATGCAATACGATTATCTTTCAATCGTATTGTGCTGACAATATTTTAACATAAAAGGGTATAAAGTAAAACAAAAAATTCAATGCTGTTGGTTTAATCTATCTATAACCCATCTCCAAGTCTCGCCGAAACTTTCCAGTGTGCCATTTAAGTTTGCAATATTTCGTTCGTCATTGATTTTGTATTTTATGATTTCTTTTATTTGCATAAATGTTATTTTAGTATTAACGCGTCTTGATTTATGTAATAAACTTTTTATATACAATATGCAAAAATTAATTGCTTTTGAAGTGTGGTCGCGTTCTTGATCTAATTTCCCGACAATTATGTCTTCAATTGTAAGATCAATATTGAAAAAAATTTTAAAGTCATCCCAATCTTGGAAGAGTTTGGGCACTCTATGAAGAAGTGTATCGTATCATCTATTTTATCGTTTTTACAAAAGTCGCATAAATTTGAATTTTTTATTTTCTTTCGAGTTAAAAATTGGTTATTTGGTGTAACGTTTAAAACAAGTTTGTATTGAAGGCATTGTATTCTCGGTTCTCGAACCGTCTTAAAGTCCCCGATAAATCGGGCTACGTATACCGCCGTGTTTACATTAGGGGATTAGAAGAGTTTATTTTTTATTTAGGTATGCAAGCTACGTATATCAATATTAGGCCTTCATTCATGTACTCGTGTGCATGTAATCAGCATGCCCTTCAATATTATGTAAACCAGGCTATTCAAGTACTGTATAATGTACACTATTTATGTGTGTACTACATACAATACAATTCCCTGGGAAACAAAACACAAATACTTTTTATATGTTCAAAATGAGCCATTTGATTGATGCAAACACTAAATAGCTTCATAAATAACATCTACAAAGTATATCTAATAGTAATTTTCAATTTCAATGGTGAAACTTCCCTGATTACTATTATATGGGAAATCATCACGAGACGAAGTTCGTTCGCCTTCCTGGCTTACCTCTGAATCGTGTACCCGGTAATCTCTTTATATAGTTTAGCGAGAGCGGTGCGCCTGCGCAGTTTTAAACTTTGGCACACACTTTAAAAGGTAATGTAAAAATGTGTTTCCAATCTTCTTCTGTAAAGTTGAATTTTGAATTTAGATATTTTTTCCCGTTGGGTTCTTTAAATAAATTATCTACGAGAATCCAATATATGGTTTTAGTTTTTATAGATTTGACGTTTATTGTCGTGTTTTTGATTTGGAGTTCTTCGTCTTTAAAGTGTGCGCCAAAATTTAAAACTGCGCAGGCGCAGCGCTCTCGCTAACCTATATAAAGAGATTACAGGGTACAGGCTCAGAGGTAAGCCAGGAAGGTGTATAACTATCGTCCCGTGTTGATTTCCCGTATAATCGTAACCAGGCAAGTTTCAACATTGGAATTGAAAATAACTATTAAATATACTTTGTAGATGTTTATATATGGAGGTATTAAGTGTATGCATCAATCAAATGGCTCATTTTGAACATATAAAAAGTATTTGTGTTTCGTTTCCCAGGGAATTGTATTCCCATATAGTACACACATAAATAGTGTACATTATGTTGTACTTGAATAGCCTGGCGTATATAATATTGAAGGGCATGCTAATTGTACACACGAGTACATGCATGTGAAGGCCTAATATTGATATTGCTTGCATACCTAAGTAAAAAATAAACTCTTCTAATCCCCTAATGTAAACACGGCGGTATACGTAGCCCGATTTATCGGGGGCTTTAAGTGCCTTGTTGCTTCGATTGTTTTTAATATGTTGTTTCCAGGAGTGTGGAATTGCATGAATTAAGCCATAGAAAGTAACGAAAGGTGTATTAATATTATATTTTAAAGAGAAATCTTCGAAACCTAAGAATTCATTATTGTTAACGAGATCTTTTATTTGAAGGATTCCTTTACTTATCCAGCTTGCATAATTTAGGGTTTTGTCATTAATTTTTATGAACTCATTATTCCTTTGTGTATAAACATCAAGTGCTTTGCTACATCTATAGGACTGTTCGTGAGCTGATGAAGAGCTTTGGGTAGTATAAGCTTGGCTGTCTCTGTCGTCAGGCTTGTGACTGACCTTTGGCTGGTTTAAGATCTTTGATGGTACCAACACTCCCATTCCAGAGACTGAAGCTTTGGGACATTTCATTTGGTGGTTGAAGAATGATGGAAACTTCTTCGTTTTATTGGTTGGTCCATTTGTCACGTCTTCGTATCCAGAGCCACCTGGAGCACGATTCTGAAACTGCTCCAATTTCTCTCATTGCTCGTCTAAGTTGGCTAGAATGTACCCCAATGTCTTTGAACAATGAGCGTAGAGACAAAGCTGGGAAGCCCCTGCACCCTACTTCTACAGGGTATAGTCTTGCTTGCCATCCTTTGCTCTGGGCTTCATGGATTAGGTCTTGGTATTTGTTGTACTTGAGTTGGTGAGATATGTCTATTCTTTCCCCCCAAGGTACTGTAAGTTCTATCACTAGTATGGTTTTAGAACTTTCTGAGAGAAGTAGCATGTCGGGACGTAGTGTTGTTGCTACTATGTTCTGAGGGAAGACTAATTTCTTATCCAGGTCAACATGCAATTTCCAATCAGAGGCCTTAGACAGTGATGAGAGAGGAATTGACGGGTCTGTATTCTTAGTCCTTGGAGTTCGTTGTTTTCCCTCCAGTTGAAATGCTGTGAATATGGGCTTTGTGGGGACCAGTTGCTTGTTGTGTGTTCTAGCTCTGTCAACCCATTCAGCAATTTTCTGTAGGACTTTGTCGTGTCGCCATCTGTACCGGCCTTCACTCAGTGCTGTCTTGCAGCTGCTCAGGATGTGGGTTAGGGTACATCTGGGACTTTTGCATAGAGGGCATGTGTTGTCATTTTCAAGACCCCACGTGCTTAGGTTCGTTGGGGTTGGTAAAAGGTCAGTAAAAGCGCGCAATATAAAACTGAGGCTTGCTTGGTCAACTGTCCAAAGATCTTTCCATGTAGGAGACCTTTCCATGATTGATTCCCATTGGGTCCAGTTTCCCTGCTTGGAAAGTCCCACTGCTTTTACAAGGCGTTCTTCTTCCTGCACTTTACGTGTTTGCTTTACCAGGCGGTCTTTCTTTGCCTTTGGAGTCTTTTCTAATAGCTTGGAACCATAATTGCCTAAGCCTAATCGACCTTGACAAACAACTCCAACTATCTGCTCATGTCGCTCCCGTTCTTCAGCTTCTGCTATTGCTTGCTGGGGTTTCCATTTCCTTCCAGTTGATATTGATTCTCCCGAGGAAAGGACCTTAGGATCTTTGGACGTTCGAAGGGTTGTAATGGCCCTGACTTTGGCCACCTTGAATTCCTCCACCAGTGAAGAAATTGGGAGGGACAGCTTTGAAGATGTGCTGTAGAGGTTACAGGAGCTGAAGCTTGGAGGTACTCCTAACCATTTTCTCAAAAATCTGTTGCACAACCTTTCCATGGAATTGACAAGGGATAGAGGGAATTCATACAAGGAAAAAGGCCATTGTAATCGGGGGATTACTCCAAACTGGAAACACCATACCTTGAATTTACCTAGAAGGTGACTCTTGTTAATAGTTTCCATCCATCTTTCTAGTTCCTTGAAGACTTCCTTAGTGGTGTTGCTATCCTTTAAAGTCTCGTCATAAACTTTCCCTAAACACTTTATGCGTTCATCTTGGATGGATGGGATAGCTGCTCCTTGGATGTTGAAAGTGTGTCTTTGGGTTGGTTGTCCCTTGACGATGGTCATGCTGCGTGATTTCTTAGGCTTAAACTGCATACGGGACCATGTAGCCATTTCCTCGAGACTTGTAAGAATCCACCGCATGCCAGGGATAGACTGCGTCATGACTGTGATGTCATCCATGAATGCCCTGCAGCATGGGTGTCTAGTGCCATCCTTTGCTTTTGGTCCTTTGCATTGTGCTTCTCCAACCTTCAGAAGCATGTTCATTGCAGCTATGAAGAGTATTACTGAGATAGTACATCCGGCCATGATGCCTTTCTCTAGTGGCTGCCATGAGGTGGTGAAGTTCCTTGTGGTGAAACGCATCTTCATGTTGCTAAGGTGGTTTGTTGTAAGGTTAATTACTTCCTCTGGGATGTTGTAATGAGAAAGTGCTGTCTGTATAAGTTGATGGGGAACATTTGGATAAGCTTTGGCCAGGTCTAGCCACACAACTGCTAAAGTAGACTTCTGTTGCTTGGCTTCTTTGATTAGCTGACTGATGGCTGCAGTATGTTCTTGACATCCGGAATAACCAGATATGCCACCTTTCTGTACACTTGGATCGATGTAGTTGTTGCTGATCAAAAAACTGGTCATTCTCTTTGCTACAACTGACCAAAAGATTTTCCCCTCAACATCTAATAAAGAAATCTCCCTGAACTGGTCAAGAGAACTAAACTTGTCTTCTTTGGGAACAAAGCAACCTTCAGCATAGGTCCAAGAGGTGGGTAGCTCTTTCTTCTTCCAGATGGCGTGGATAAGTTTCCAAAGTCTTTTGAGGAGCTTTGGACAGTTCTTGTATATCCTGTATGTT